TCCTAAAGGCATGACTCTGACACATTGATTTGCACAAGTGTGAACTTGAAACTTGTTCTCTTGACAGAATCAGTACTCAGTCATGGGTGCCAGTGTGCTAGGAGCTGTACAAAAAGATGACTTCCTTCTGCTGTTATGCCTACAAAAAACTTGGAAATACTGGTTAGCTTTGTGGGTATATGTGGAGTCTTGTCACTCTTTTTCCTCTTTCTCACCCCCACCACCTCCCTCCCCCGTCTATCATCTCTTATTTAGAGGCTAAATTCCTTGGTGGGGGATCACCTTTGTATAGTACCCAGCACACTGCCATTCATGGCAGACCACCAAGGAGTCCACAATGAGACATTTTAAGAGCTGAAAACAACCTAAACCCACTGCTTGCTGTAGACTCATCTCAGTATTTCCCAGTCCTCTTGTGCAGTTACCCCATTTTTTAACCACCCCACTTTCAGTAAAGATAACTGGGTTTTTATTGACTTGCATTTCAGTGGGGTCACATATATCCTTGCTTGTAAGTTGCCTGACCCTACCTGGGGATGTGAACCCTGCTTTAGGAACAGTTCATTTAGAACAGATTACTGAGAAGAAGAGGGATATGAAGAATCTCTAGAGATGATTTCTACTTGCAATCCCTATGGATTGCAATTTGCTTTGTTCCTGCATCTTGTATTCTGGTCCCTGAGTTTATGGTTTTAAGGATTGCTGCTCTTTTTGGGTGGTGGGCTGGTGGTGGTTGTGGTGTTTTGTGGGAGAAAGAAAGGACATTGCATGTGTTTCCCAATCAGAAGATTGTCTCACTCGAGAGAATTATCTTGGTGCATGTCCGCGAGGGGCCAGCAGGGGAGATTATGCTTAGGGGCAACCAACACACGTTCATTAGAGGCAGGTCCTGTTGGACTAACCTGGTGGCCTTCTATGACCAGGTCACAAAATCATTGGATGCAGGTGTCATGGTGGATGTAGTCTTTCTGGACTTTAGGAAGGCCTTCAACACTGTCTCTCACCCTGTTCTCATTTAAAAAACTAGGAGATTGTGGCATCGATACCTACACAGTCAAATGGGTCCCTAACTGGCTGGAGGGCCGCACCCAGAGAGTGGTGGTGGACAGATCTTATTTGACCTAGAGGGATGTGGGCAGTGGGGTCCTGCAGGGCTCGGTCCTCAGGCCTGCACTGTTCAACATCTTCACCAGCGACTTGGACGGGGGAGTAAAAAGCACCCTGTTCAAATTTGCAGATGACGCAAAGATGTGGGGGGATGTGGGCACGCTAGAAGGGAGGAATAGGCTGCAATTGGACCTGGGCAGGTTACAGGGGTTGGCAGATGAGAACAGGATGGGTTTCAACACTGACAAGTGCAAGGTGCTGCACCTGGGGAGGAAGAACCAGCAGCATACCTACAGGCTGGGGAACTCCCTTCTCAGCAGTGCAGAGACAGAAAAGGATCTTGGAGTCGTCATTGATGCCAAGATGAACATGGGCCAGCAGTGTGGGGATGCAGTCAGGAAGGCCAACCATACCTTGTCATGCATCCACAGGGCCAGCCATACCTTGTTATGCATCCACAGATGCATATCGAGCTGGTTCAAGGAGGTGATCCTCCCCCTCTGTGGCACTGGTCAGGCTGCAGCTGGAGTACTGCATCCAGTTCTGGGCGCCGCACTTCAGGAGGGATGTGGACAACATGGAGAGGGTCCAGAGGAGGGCCACCCGCATGATCAGGGGCAGCAGGGCAGGCCCTATGAGGAGAGGCTACGGGACCTGAACCTGTTCAGCCTCCACAAGAGAAGGCTGAGGGGGGACCTAGTGGCCTGTTACAAACTAGTCAGGGGGGATCAGCAGGCATTGGGGGAGTCACTGTTCCCCCGAGCACTGCCAGGAGTGACTAGAAATAGTGGTCACAAGCTGCCAGAGGGTAGATTCAGACTAGATATCAGGAGGCACTACTTCATGGTCAGGGTGGCTAGAATCTGGAACCAACTTCCAAGCAAAGTGGTGCTGGCTCCTACCCTGGGGGTCTTTAAGACAAAGCTAGATGATCACCTAGGGTTGTTTGACCTCAGTACTTTTTCCTGCCATGGCAGGGGGGCGGACTTGATGGTCTGCTCTGGTCTCTTCCGACCCTACCAACTATGAAACCTCTTCACCTCTCTAATCTCTTCCATCTATCTCATACCATGTTATTTTAAGTAAGACCAGCAGTGCTGTGGTAGATGTGTGGGGGATGGATTAATGTCTGAATGTGAAGGACCACTATCCTAGCTTAACCTAGCACATGGTGGTTAAAAGCAGGAGATCTAAAAAGACACCTGGGTGTGGTCTTTAATACAACCTCTACAGGGAAGGCAGCTTCAGCTTTTAACTAGGCCATTTTGACTCCAGTGGGGCTGTGGATAAGCTCAAGAGGGTGCAGATTAGAGCCTGGAGGATAGGCCGTATGAGGAGAGACTCTGGTAACTATGCTTCTTCATTCTGAGTAAGAGGAGGCTGGGAGGTGGCTTGATAGCTGCCTACAAGTATGTCAGGGGGGAGCACCAAGATCTGGGGGAGCAACTCTTCAGGAAGTCACCCTTTTGGGAGGACAAGGTCCAGTGGACGCAAACTAACAGAGGGAAGGTTTAGGCTGGATAGGGAAGAACTTCTCCATAAGGGTAACTAGAACCTGGAATACACGGCCAGCAGAGGTGGTGCAGTTGTCTCCATGGAGGTGTTCAAGAGGAGGCTGGATAAGCACCTTATTGAGCTCGTTAACCTCCTGCCTATGGCAGGGGACAAGACTTGATGATCTTGCAGGTCCCTTCCCGTCCACTGATTCTGTGATTGTCTGCCATTTCCAGACTGCACCAGGGAACGTTGTGGTGAGGCACAGTACACTTGGTCTGGGTACCCCAAATCCTGAAAATGCCAGGATGGAGCAGCCCTGGCAGTTCACCAGGGCTGCCTGTCTTGGGTGTGGTGACTGGCATGTCCGCCACTATGTGAAAGCAGCTGTTTCCTGTCTGGTCCAGGATTTAGCGTGGGTGTAGCACTGTCTGGAGGTGGTTGAGACATGCCCTTACTAGATTTGAAAAGGTGGTGATGTTGCCTTTTAAAGCAGTGGGTGGGGGAGCAGGAAGGCAACACTTCCCATACTCCTGAGCCTCGCCGATTTGGCTCAGCTCCACCCTGACTTTTGTGGGGAGAGGTGATTTCCTTTTTGGTTTTATTTTGTTTTCAATTGGCTTGTAACCACTGGTTTTTAAGGCTCCCTGCTAGAGGAGCAGTGTGCTAATGGGGATGTGGGGCCTTTCTGTGCTAGGTGATGCATAGAAGCATCCAGCCTAGGTTGGTGGTGTCTGGGTTCTTCTGCCCATCAGTAATTTGTGGTTGTATTTTCATTCTTAATGGGCACTTCAGTGGTGGCCCCCCTGTTGTCTGAGTATAGTCCCAGGAAAGAAGTGTGTGTAAGCCTTGGTTACTGAGATGCCTGGCTTGATGTTTAAGGCCAGGTCTATAAAGATGCCAAATGTCCACTGCTCCCAGTAAAGTGATCGGGAGCTGTGGGTGCTTAACACCTATTTAAAATCAAGATGCATGTCAGCGTTTGGGGATCCAAATAGTCATAGCCCCCAAAGTAGCAGTAGGGAAAGTGGCCTTAAATTCTTTACCTTAGTTTTTTCCTTAGGATGAAAGATGCAGTTTCTATTCCCATAGAGGAGTTGTTGAGGGTTAGTTTAACAATTGGGAAGTGGCTCGCTCCAGGCTTGTTACTATGGAGTATGCCGACTAAAAGATTTCCTTTGAAAGGAATTCCTGGGTAAGTCTAGCCTTGCCAAGCAAGCAGGGGCAGCTAAGTTGCCTTCAGTGAAGAGGCACTTCCTCATGCTCTGTACTTGGCTCATAAAGACGGTGCTATGGAAAAAGTGCAAAGAGTATTTTCTCCAGGTTTGTAATGTAAACGAGGTCAATGGACTAGTAGCTTTTGAGAAACAAGAATGACCCAAAAAGGGGAGAATTTGACAAGTGTGATTTATAGCATGACCCACTGAAGTTAATATCAAGACTTGGCATTTTTTGAACCCCCTTAAAAATGTCTTAGCAGACAGTCAGAGTCTCTTGCAAGTAGAGGTGGTTTAGACCTTTCTGTCCATGGTTTTTGTGGCAGAAATGAAGCCTGCTGAAATGTTGTCTTGGAAAAAATTGGCTCTTTTTTTCTGCCACAACTTCCTCTCTTTCCTTGTGTTCCCAGTCAGGAAAATGGAAACAAGATTTCTTGTTGGTTAAGATTTTCATTTTCCTGACCAAAATTTATCTCATGATGAGTCTCTCTTGGACCATGCACAATAGTCTGCCCTGGGAGCCCAAACCTCTGGCAGGAAGCATCTCAGCCGGAAGGCCTACAAAACATCTCAGACAGGTGTAGGTTTTGAAACAATGCAAAGACTTTCATGCCCGCGGGCGGGGGAAGAGAAATTGTTTTGGAACCTTTTCATTTTGCTAAAAGCTTTGTTACTGCAAGAGAGAGTCTGGGATATCAATGTCAAGCTTCACTTGGACCTTCCTGTAAACGTATGTGGGGTGGAAATTTGAGCCTGAGGGACCTTACAGTAGGACCTGTGGTGGTGTTCACTAAATAGAGTGTAGCCATATCTGCGTCTAGTCTGTATGGATTGGCACTGTGGGTTGACTAAATCTATAGTGAAGAGGGCGAGGACATGCTGCACACTAGAACAGCCATAACTTTATGCAAATATAGGAAGGAAATCTTGCTGGTCTAAGGCAGTTTGGCCAATGCCCTGAAAAAATGACTCTTACATCTGGGTTAAGCTGCATAATCCCAGATATTGCGAATGGTCTTAAAATTAACCAGCCAGGCTCTGCTGTTGTCTTGCAGTGGCTTCTTCCACCACAAGTGACTGCATACGCCGGGAGATTTTCCGTTCTCTGGTTCTCAGTCTACAAGCCTTAAGTTCTATGGACTATTTTTTTTTTCTATATCTTTGCTGCCTTTCTTGTTTCAGGTGAAGCTGGTGCAGATATCATTCGTGTCTCAAAAGAAGCTCGGAAGAGGTTCCTGGGCCCGCTACATCCCTCCTTCAATTTGGTGAAAACCATCCGGAGCTGTATGTACAAGACCTTACCAGAGAATGCGCATGTGGCATCTACAGGACGCTTGGGCATCTCGCTGACAAGAGTCTCTGATGGCGCAAATGTTATACTGTCAGAGTTTCATAGTAAAGAAGAGCTTATCCAGGTGAGCAAAAATTTAGCTGGCAAATGTGGGGGAGGAAGAACAGCTGCAACTTTTCTAGCATGGCCCAGAAATTGTTAATGGTCTTGGTTTGGCCTCATCTTCACTCCCAGACTTGAGAAGATAACCCTAACCCTGGTGCCAAATAGACTACATGTCTTACTGAGTGGGGGCCTGTGGGTGCCTGAGATGCTATGAACAGACTTTTTTTTTTTTTAAGGTCTTGGTTTAGTTCTTGCCAAAAGACTTTCCATTTCCAATATTGAATGCTCTCCCCATCTTTTCACAGGCCTGTGTTTGCAGTACTTTTATTCCTGTGTATTGTGGTCTGATCCCTCCAAGCCTACGTGGAGTGGTAAGTTGACCTCCTAGGTTATTTTTGTTTTTGTATTTTTTTCCCCCTTGGGTAGCGCTGTGTGCCAAAGTGAGGAACCTAAACAAAGACACTTGTACTGAATCATACCCACAGTCCAGTGTTTTTATCTGGAAGTGTCCAGTGAGATGGCTAAGGAAGCAGTGTAAGAAACACTGAAATGAATGAATAATTGATGGAATCACTTGTCTGGAAGGCAGACTGCTTCTTAACCCCATCAGTGATTTGGCTGGTGTCTTCTGAAGCATGAAAGCTTTGGTTGTTTGTATATATAATATATTTAACCTACTGATAGCTGACTGAAAAATCTTCTACAGAACCTTTTTTTTTCCAACAGAAAACTAAGTGGCCAGCAAAACAAACTTAGTTCTTTCCTTGCAAGCATTCAAGTTTCTGTTGGAGATCTAAAAAAAGCAAATATATTTTTTCTGCTGAAAAAAATGTTACTTGCTAAAAATCTGTATGTAAATAACATATTTAATATCTTGGCTTGGTGGTTTTCTGTTTTTCATTCAAAGTTGACTCTTTTCTAAGGAAAAACCTTGGAAGATTTCATAAGCTCTCCAAGGACTTCTTGCTTAGCACAGCCACCTGACGCCTTAAACAAGGCCTCTAAAAACCCTGCAACATGTCACAGGTAAAAAAAAAAATAAAGCAAAGGAAATGAAGCGCTCACTACCAGTACCCTGCTGCAAAAGGGCAGAAAAGTTTAAGATGTTATATAAAATAAATTCACTCGGTGTGAACAAATGCAAAACAATTCACATTTTAGGGAACCGTTTGACTTCTGCAGATTAAAATGGGTTTCAAATCAATGGCAACTAATCAAGGGAGAAAGCTAGTCACAGGGACGAATGCTCCATGCAGACCTCTGCTTGGAATACAGCAGCAGCCAGATAGGGTTTTTTTTGGTGTGTGGTTTTTATTTTGT